CTCTCTCTCTCTCTCTCTCTCTCTCTCTCTCTCTCTCTCTCTCTCTCTCTCTCTCTCTCTCTCTCTCTGTGTGTGTGTGTGTGTGTGTGTGGCCATAATCCCAAGACAAAAACCAAAACCTCTCTCTCACTGTCTCTCATGCGGTCGTCTATTGCGGTCAGGTTCATAGGCTCAACCGTAATCCCAGCAAGTTTAGACAACAAAGAAACGAACAAAGCCTACTAATACACAACCAAAATCCAATCAAACAACAACAAGATCTAATTTCTTCCAATGGACCAAAGGAGACCTAACCACAAAATGATGCAAGCATCGACCCTCCGTTTCCACTGTCCACACGAGGAATCGAGGCGATATCGACGGCCCACTCTCTTTCGGGATAAAAAGCAAACCACCAACCCTCATGCTGAGCTAGCAGTTCAGTGAGGGTGAGCAAGCTAAGGGCATAACCCCACTTCTTATAGGCGAGGCACTTTTTGGTAAATTTTGGGATCCCACCTCTTTCCGCGAGAGCCCGAGGTGGCCCTGTTATTCCGAAGAAGTGGAAACAGCCTAGTACGTGGCAGTGCGAGCGCGATTTGAGGACCGGTACTTCTTTCAAAAATCAAAAGACGCCAACCCCGTACCCTGCACCGCGAAAGAAGGTGCCCTTGTTTTTTTCTTCCTTTTTCCCCCCCCGGATGTGCAGGCCATTGGATCCTCAAGGCGAGACAAGATAGTCCGCTCCGTTAGGAAAAGTCCCGCAGAAGTAGGGCATGCAGGGTCGCATTTTTCTTTCACGTTTCGTGCGCTGCGCCTCCACCTTTCGTGGGACTTTTACGTTCTTAGGAAAACGGAAAGAAGTGGGATCTGCCCCTACGTCCTTGCAACACGTAGAACCTACCAACCCGCGATCCAAGACAAAAAAAATAACCACCGTAGGCAAACCAATCAACACGGTAGATCTCCAAGCGTGAAGGCAGCCAACTCAGCCTATAACAACACCGAATCAGCCACCACACAGCTCCAGGCAAAAACCAATCAACTCAGCCGGAACATGAAGCAGAAGAAGTAACCAGACCAGCTCGCCAAAAGGAGCCGCGCCATACAACAAGGAGAACTCGCAGGCCATCAAGAGTATTTAACTCAGCTCCTGCCATCCACCGTGCTCGTCCACAACAACAAAGAGAACAACGTTCGCCTACTACAACGAACCGTATCAACAATTTACGTATCTCAAGACCAGGAGGGCAAAAGCCCTCCCGATCATTTTACATATGTCGTTTATTGCGGCAGACAGACCCCGCCCAACAGTCTCCCCCACTCTTTCGTTTTACATATATGTCGTTTATTGCGCCAGACAGACCCCGCCCCACAGTCTCCCCCACTCTTTCCACGCACCCGGCCCCTCCCGATCGTTTTACATATCTCGTTTATTGCGGCAGACGGACCCTGCCCAACAGTGTCCCCCAGTCTTTCCACGCACCTGACAAAACTAGTTGGGAATACCGGGGCAAGGTCCCACTTGCACGGATTAAGAGATTCTGGCCCTTCATCTTTGCTATCTACGGTCACTATCTCTTAATTCGTGCAAGTGGGACCTAGCCCCCGGTTTGAGCCGGCTGAGGTCAGCCATAGCCGGGAACCCGTCAGGGCCCGCAAAGTTCCACCCCCCCCAAGCGCTCGTGCGCGCTAGTCAACCATGCATCCCTTCAGCTACGCGGACGGCAAGGTCTGGCAACGTGAGTCAACGCAGATTAGCGCAGCTCGGTTTCGCCCGCCGCCCACAGCCCGCGGCCTGCGGCGTCATGATGTTGTACTTTTGTTTCACTCGCTAATAAAACTAAAAAGAAAGATGAGCGAGAGGAGGTAGAGGTGTGCATGCAGCTACTGTCTCCCGCCGAGTAGAACAACGTACGGGGCATTATCGCAGCAGAGTTGCGCCGAATACAGCTAGGATGACCGCCGTGCGTTCTGTTCGGGTGAAGACCGTAGCTGAAAGAACTGCAAGTTGCAGGTGGAGACGTACCGGCATTCCCCAAAAAAAAAGAAAAAAAAGAAACGTACGGGCAGCCAACGTGCCTTACCTCGGTACACTCATGAATTGTTGAAATAGAGACCGGAGTTTAAGTCCCGGTGACAATCAGATTGACGAAAGAAAAAAGGAAAAGGAAAAAGAAAAGAGGAAGAAAGAAACTTACCAGCACAAATTTCCTCGCACGTTTTGTCCCCGTCCTCCTTTGTCACGCATTTGCCTCCATAAAATGGCGGGAAAGATGTTGGAGGAGGATGGGTGGTATCCGCTAGCACGAGCACGTTGCTGCCGGTGATTGGCTGAGCCACGAAGCGACCAGGCCTCCAATCCACCTCCTCAACGGGCTTCCTCTCCCACACACCACAGTCTCCACACTCCTGCTTGTTGATTGGATCGGCTTCGTCGGGCGGAACGTTGCTGTAAAGCCTCTTGCCCTTGAGATCGAATCGAACGGGGTCGATGATTGCCTTGCGGGTGGGAGAACGGCAGGCAAGGGCCAGCCTGTTAACGGGATCGGGTTTGACACCTAGAGTCGAAAAGGATGCGGTGGCGGGAATGCGAACCTGATTCTTATCCTTAACCTGATTTTTGGCGGGTTTGTCGAGAATGCCGCCACGTGTGGGGCCTTGGGCTGCCGAAGGGGCGGGCAACAACAGACGCTTCTCCCTGGCGCCCGCAGCCCCCACAGATTCTGCCGATCGACCTAAAATTGCATTGTATTCAGGAGCGGCCGTGACAGTTGAGCCGTAACTGCCAACGGCATAGCCGTAGGTACCCATCACCCCGCTGCCATAGGTAGAATTAGTGGTAGTGTAAAAGGCTTGTCCGATATTTGGCACTGACGCTGACTTGCAAAGCAGAGGTCTTGGGCTCCCAAGGCACTCCATCTCCTTGGCGATCCTCGCATCTGCTGCTGCTGCTCCCATACTGACCCAACTCTCTCTCTCTCTCTCTCTCTCTCTCTCTCTCTCTCTCTCTCTCTAGATATATTGTATCTATGATCTATATAGATATCTATCGATAAATTGCTCTCTTCTCTCTCTCTCTCTCTCTCTGTACATATAGATATATACCTATCTATTTATCTATCTTATCTATCTTCTACTTAAGTATCTATAGATATATTGTATCTATGATCTATGGAGATATCTATCGATAGATTGATATGTCTATAGATAGATATCAAAAGATATATTTCCAAAGCTCAAAAGATACCAACCGAAGGAAATCGCCAGGCAAAGAGAAGGACGACTACAAGAAACGAAAAAAAAAAAAAAAAAAAAAAAAAAAAAACGAAAAGCAAAAGATAGTGAGGATGCGCGTACGGAGAGGTGGTGACGCGGGAAAGCGAGGAGCGAGACTACCAATATCCGATGAACTGTAACTCACAGGCAGGCCGCGATGGTGAGCTAGCACTCTTAACCCAAAGCAGAATTAGGGGATGCCACGTGGAAATCCCACCCGGCTATGATGACAGCAGACGTCATGAAGACAAAAAGAATCGAGAATCTAGTGGGAAACAACGGGTCCTCTGAAGAAGAAACACGAGAATCTGGCGGGAAACACGTGGATCGCCTGAACAAGAAATACAAGAATCTGGCGGGAAACACGTGGATCGCCTGAACAAGAAAAACGAGAATCTGGCGGGAAACACTTGGTCGTCTGAAGAAGCAAAACGAGAAGCACGTGACGTGGATCACCTGAGGAAAAAACGAGAATCTGGCGGGAAACACGTGACGTGGATCGCCTGAGGAAGAAACGAGAATCTGGCGGGAAACACGTGACGTGGATCGCCTGAATTTCTCATACCTTACCTTCCTAAATTAGAAACTTCGTTGAAAATGCCGCTGCATGCATATCGTTCGCAGCGCAGCGTTGGGATCGTATTTCTATGTGTCCCGACGGACGAAGAAGAGCTTCTCACCACATGAGGTCATCCATCCATCCAACGTTTGCTCCTATTGCGACTACCTTCCGTGAATACGGCCGTAATTCAGTCCACTTACATTCGGCGAAATCCCGTTGGGGAACGTATGCGGTCTTTTTTTTTTTTTCCCCCGTCAACCTTCTACCTCTTCGTTATGGTATGCTCAAACCAACGCTATACTGAATGTATCAAACCCCGTTCCACGATCACATTCATTCGAAATAGCAGCTCTGGTGTCAGACCATGCATGCCCTCGTTCAGCTTACACTCGCACTCACGGTCTCTGCGGCAATCGCTCCGACTTCTCTCTCATATTTTTTATTTTTTATTTGATTACCCTGTCTGCCCATACACCCAGTACACTGCATGTAATCAGTCAGTCATACACCCATTACTTCTCTCTTATTCGCCCTCCAAATTCCACTCCCACTTGCCCTTGCGCTTCGGCTGCAAAGAAAAGAAAATCGCCAAGAGGGTGGTCACACACACACACAAATTCACAGAGACACAGAGAGAGAGAGAGAGAGAGAGAGAGAGAGAGAGAGAGAGAGAGAGAGAGAGAGAGAGAGAGAGAGAGAGAGAGAG